CGGGGGCTGCGTCCCCGGCCCGGGAGCCGCCTGCTGTCACGGACTGCAGAAGCATGTGCGAGGTAGGAGCAGGGTCGTCAGGACTGTCAGGTGGCGGAGGTGCTGGCTCTGTGGAAGGGATGGCGTCTCCTCCAGTTGCCCAGCCGCGATAAAAATGCAGTTTTCCCGGTGCTCCAGCAGTCAGTAAATAGTATTCTGAGTGGTCTCGCAACAGATTCAATTTTTAGCATAACTGGTGCATTTGATGGCTACCTAAACATTCTAGCTTCAACGTGTGATGTTGAAAAAATAGTAGTTTAATGCAGAGTTCCATCTTCTGTAATGTATGTAAATATAATTTACCTACCCATGTGTTTTTCAGTAATACTAACTAGAGTTGACAGCGTAACTGTGTTACAAAAGCCACTTCTAGGTACTGCGTAGATGCAGTTGCTAAGTGTCCTTGTTAAGATACGTACCCCGTGGTGTAGGTAAACAAAAGTTAATAATCTAAACATGAAGCTGAAAACTAGTACCAAAACAATGACCGTGTTGTCTAGCTGAAAACAAATCTCTTTGTTTCAGATTTTCTCCCCTTTGTATGTGATGGCTGTTCAGGTGTCTTTTGGTAAGTTCTCCTGTAAGACCTCAGTGTGGCAGTTGTGTAGACCTAAATGTCATATAAAACGTTCTGTGACTCAATTTAGATACACTTCATTAAAAAATAATTGTTTCACTGAACTTGCCACTTTTTTGGGCTTTGAAATCAGTGGAAATATCTGTACAATAGAGGTAGATTACTTTGAAAGGCATCTACACCCTGTTTTGTATTGATTTTGTGGGTTTTTTGAGGGGGTCGGTATTTTTTCTTGTAGAAAAAAAATGAACTCGCTTTCAAGGTCTCAAATCAGGGCTTGCACTTTGGTTTACCCTTCAGGTTAGCAGAAGGTAGCTGAGATAAGCTCAGATAAACTGAGGGCAGGTTTCACTTTGACATGTTAGAAGCCTTCAAGATATTTCTGCTCTTGTGGAAGGTGATTCAAAATCCATTAAAACAGACAAACTCCAGTTCCTTGGAGCTCAATTATTAAGCATGCTAATGTCCTTATTCTCTTGAAATGGTTTGTGGTCTTGGGGCTTAAGTTTCACAGGCTAAATGTTTTACATACTCAGGAGCATGATCAGTCCCTTCAAGATGTGAAATACGTTGGTTAGTACAAATTTTTGGAGAAGATTCATTATTTAATTCAAGTGTTCCTGTGATAAAACTTGCCAGATAAATGTTTTCACAGGCAGTTTTCTTTTCCTGAAACGTCGATAACAGTGTGATATTTTCTTCTTTTGCCACCAAGCCTGCAGCACAGGAGCCGGGATGCTCATGGGTGTTCTGAGGTAACCTAATAGTATATGACCACCTTAAAATTAAAATTCTGTGCAACTTAACTGTCTGTTTTCAGATTAGATATAGTATATAAGTATGAATTATTTGACTGAGAATGTGATAAGCATAAAAAAAATGAACCTACTCCTTTTCTGCCTGTCACAAGTAAACTGAGTTTTATTTGGACAATGGCTCTTTTTCTAACTCTGAGCTAAACTTAACAAGGACAAAAGTAGGAGAGAATCACTGGACTGGTTTTGCCCATGGAATAGAGAGCTAGCACAGTTCTTATGTAAAGCTGGGATGGTGACTTTTGTCTGTAATATCTGTTTATTTACACAAAATATTTTGTACTAATGCCTAGGTGAATATAAGAAACCATTCTATGAAACCAGATCAGCACAGATTTCACCCGTGCTCATACAAGGACTGCAACGGAAAGGAGCTTTTGCCAGTCTTATGTCCCTACTGTGAAAAACATTTTTGTCTCAGGTGAGTGGAACAGTGTTTAAACATCAGTACTCCTTCATTAGTGTATGGAAAAGGTAATAAATCTTTTACACTGTTGTTTACAGACACCGGCATCAATCAGACCATGAATGTGAGAAACTAGACGCACCAAAACCTCGCATGGCTGCCACTCAGCAGCTCATTAAACGTATTGTAGGCAAGTACAGCGCGATACGTATTCTACAATTTACTTCTGAAGGCTGTTTGAGCTTGTGACCTTCTCCGAGGGTCCAAGTTTGACCAAATAAGAAGAAAGCATGGGGGTTCCATGTTTAAATATCCCTAAACTCACATGGCAACATGTAATGCTGTTCATTTAGACTGAGACAAGACAGCAGTAACGTATGTCTATAAAGAGAATCTTTAAAGTTTAAATACGACTCAGGTTTCTTTCAGAATTATTGTCTTGTTCTCATTCTGCAAGTACTGTAATGTAATGAATTGTACCTAGCCGTTATTATTTGTGTATTAATTCATGTGCAAATAATGCAGTTGTGTTGTATTTGGTGCATGTGCCAATCTGCTGGCATTGTATCTACACAACCAAGCTGGCAAAAAAAATGTGTGTCTACAATGTCATGTTTTGCAGCTTAGATAAGAGCTGGGACAGGAAAGAGAAGAAACAGCGCTGCCTTACTGGACAGTGGGGTTGTGTGCAGAAGGGAGGACCTGAAACTGTTGCCATGTGAATGCTGTGATAGCCACAGGTGTAGAAACTTAGGAATCTGTATCTGTTCGGCTTTGCAACCTGTGTTTACCTTGTGATAGTGTTCATCTACTTTTCAGTGTAAAGGAGTTCTGTTAGGACTGTAACAATTGCAAATATTCTTGGAGTGCCTGATATCATAGCCTTGGGGAAAGGGACATGAAAGGAATGGGAACCTTGGAGATATAATGAGGCCCAATAGGCTAATTCCAATGCCTGATCAGGAGACAGTCTGCATCATCACACTAACAGGAATAATATTGTTTTCAGATTCTAAAAAAACCGAGGAAGCAAAAAGCAAAAAACGAAAAGGAGCAAAAAACAGTGAGACAGCAGCAAAAGTGGCATTAATGAAACTGAAAATGCATGCGTGTGGGGACAAGTCCTTGCCTCAGGTCAGTCATGTTTGTTTTCAATAATTGAATTCTCAAAGGAAATGGGAAGTTTTCTAAATTTCTTGTTCTTCGTCTGTAGTTCGCTCAGTTTGGTTTTGGATTTAATTCTTCAAGCCCACAATCATTTATACATCTGTTTCAGCCCGGTACCCAAAAGCAATCTCACTAATCTTACGTCTGTTATAAGGTGTCTGTGTAGAGTTGGAGCAGTCACGTCAAATCCCTTTGTTTTATAGCAGAAAAGTATTTGCCTGCCATGCAGCTGTTGCTCAACTGCAGGGACAGACAGGTTCTTTGGGGGATCCTGGGCAGAATGATGATGACACTAAGTTCTGGTTGCAATTGAAGCTTTATTATTTTACCAGACTTTGATGATCAGCATAGCATAGAATTTTATGATCAGAGTAGCACAGGATTTTTATAGTCAGAATCAGTGTAGCACAATTTGATAAGTAGCGTAGCACTTGATTTTATAGCACAGCTTAGCTTGTGGTTCCTGATCACCTGGACCCTCTGCAGATCACGTCAAATCTTAATACTTGGTTTGCAGCATCAATATTGCAGTCATCATCTGGACTCGAAACGTGTGAAAGGATATGAGTCAGTCCTTGGAGGAAGCAGGTGACAGTGGAGGTGTCCCTGGCCACCGCAGGATCACGGGTTTTGCGTTTGTCGCATTAATTTGGCAGAAAATAAACCCCCTTGCGTTCTAACTCTCTTCACCGGAGTGGGAGGGTAGGTGCGGCTAGGTTTAAATTCTGAGTGATATCCAATTTGCCACTACCAGTCCAGTCCAGTCGCGTTTAATATGTATGTTAAACTACCACGATTCTGGATACACTAATAGGAGTCTGCACCTTCAGTCCAGTTGTGCTCATGAACTGGCACGGCCGCAGTTGGTCGCGTTCAGTGAGAAACTGTGACAACTGGCTACTGAAACAGTGCAGTTTTATTTGTGCAACAGGTATATAGGTTTT